TTTCTGCCTAGTCCGCCATCTTGCTGGTCTCCTCTGGGTAGACTTGAACCACAAATCTTTTAGTTAGCAACTAAGTGCATTAGCCATTTGTGCTACCCAGGGACTTTTCACTTTTCCACAAGAACTTTCCAATGTGTGTTGAGGAAGAAAGAAGTACAGAGAGGAAGAAAGATGATCTATGATTTGTTATTTATTAACTGAACCTTAGCCTTGGTAGCTCTTCCCCTTCATCTTAGATCTAGAAGTCTGTGCCCCACACCTACTTACCAGGTCTCTGTGGATAACACATGCATCTTCCAGGTAGGCCATACCCTCACATACATCCAGGCACATGCCCAGTAGGGTCTCTGCTGCAAAGACCCCCCGCTGGCTGCGCAGGTAATCTGACAGACAGCCATGCTCCATGAACTCACACACCAGGCAGATGGGGGCCTGCTCTAGGCATACCCCATAGAGCTGGACCAATTTGGGGTGAGAGAGTTTCCTGGAGGAGAAAAGGCAAAGGATGAGATGACCTAAACCAAGTCTCCCAAAGTGTTAAACATTTTATAGTATTTAAGTACCCAATAGTCACTTCATCCAACCCATGGTTTAGAAAACAAAATCTACTACCTTCTGTCCCTCCCCCACCCCCAAATAGATTTGACTGTGTTTGTTGAAATTTGGTAACTGAAGGGATGGTCTAGTGCTTTATGGGACTGATTACTATGAGCAATAGAAGGAAATAGCCTTTTCTGTTCAAACCTTCTCAATATCTTCTGTAAGGCATAGTTGAGGTGACCACATAATTTAAATTCAAACTAGGACACTTTTGATAATGAAAGGGGACACTATCAATAATATGTCTGGACAAGGATATAAATTGGGACTGTCCTGGGAAAAACAGGATGTGTAGTCTCTGTGGATATAAGAGACAGAAAGTGGAATGTGGCTCCTAAAGATGTTGTTTGGTTCCCTTCCACTTTTGAGTTGAACCTCAGCTTCTCCATCTGTAGAATGGGGGTAATAACCTATATTTCACAGGGTTGTGGTGAAGAACAGATCGGACCAGTGGTTCTCAACTGAGGGTAATTTTGCCCAGCAGGGACATATGGCAATATCTGAAGACATTTTTGGTTGTCGTAACTAGGAGAGGGGAGTGCTATTGGCATCTGGAGGGTAGAAGCCAGGGGTGCTGCTAACATCCTACAGTGCATAACATCCCCAGAGTAAAGAATTATCCAGTCCAAAATGTCGATAATGCTGAGTTTGAGAAAATCTATGTTTGACTGAATGAAAGAAGGTTTCTGAAAAGGTTTTTGTTTTGACTATTATTGTCCCACCAAAAGCACCAGTGATAACTTGATTTCCAGAACCAAATATTTTCTTCAATTGTTTCATATTTTTGATCCATATAATCCCTTCCTAGACATTACTCATTCAATGGTCATTTAATGAGCACTTATTATATGCCCAGCACTGTGCTAGATGCCTGGGATATGATGAGTAAGAAAGACAAGCTCTTACCATCATAGAGCTTACATTCTAGAGGTAACCTGATGAAAAAAGTAAACATAGCTGAAAAGGAGAAAAAAAGGAAGAAAAGATAATCTCTTACAGTGAGGTGAGGTGAGAGAGTGACAGGGTGTTCAGAGAAGGTCTCTTAGGGGACATGACATCTGGGTTGAGATCTGGCCTGAAGGAATGAGCAGGGTGTGTGTGAGGACAGGCAGAGGCCAGTTTGGTTGGCATGTCTAGACCAGAGAGAGAGATGGGCAGGGGATGATATTGAGGACATGGGTGAAGTCAAGTCATAGAGGACCTTGTAGACCAAGATGAGGAGCTTGGATTTTAAACTCTGTGCATTAGGAAGCCACCATTGGTTTCTGAGCAGGGAAGTGGTATGATATGGCATTATAATGGTATCTAAAGAACACAGCACAGAACATTCACCCCCAGGCATCTTTGTATCCCTTGTTGTGACTACTCACATCATGACTTCTGCCTCCTCTATGAAGTCCTCTTCTGACATGGCCCCTTCCTGAATGGTTTTGATGGCTACCTTGTCCTTGTTGAGCCAATAGCCAAGATGCACCAACCCAAACTGCCCACTGCCAATCTCCTGCACAAAAGTGAGCTCGGATGGATCAATCACCCATTTCCCTGTTAGAAAGAAAGATGATTTTCCAAGGTTGCCAACTATAAAAACTCACTGCCATCCAGTCAAGTCCATTTGACTCATAGCGACCCCTTCCGTGGGTTTCCGAGGCAGTATCTCTATGGAAGTAGATTGCCCAACCTTCCTTCTGAGGAGTAGCTGGTGGGTTTGAACCACCAGCCATCTGGATAGCAGTCAAATGCCTTAGGCACTACACCAGCAGAGGGCTATCAGGAAACTAAATAGTGCCTACATATAATCTTAGACTTTCATTTATATGACCCAAAGATGGCAAATGGTATAAACTCTAGACTTAGAACCATCATAAAACTCTTGCCATCAAATCAATCCTGACTTATAGCAACCTATATCACAGAGTAGAACTGCCCTTTAGGTTTCCAAGGATGTAGTCTTTATGGAATCAGACTGTCACATTTTTCTCCATGAGAACTATAGATACAATTATATATATAAATATATTTTATATATACATACATATAATATATATATTGTATGTTTATATATATATATTTTTTATATATATATATATATATATATATATATATATATATTTAACAACATAGTACATGCTTGTAAAGCCTTGAAAAATGTGTGAGTGGGTTACATGTTTACATGTATAGGAAAAGGAGGAAAGATACTAAGGAAAATAAATAAGATCCCAAAACATTTTCTATACCTCATTGAAAATTTCTTATCATTTTTCATTTTCTCATTATTTTAGGGTAAATTTTATTTGAACTGCTGATTCATTCATTCATTATCAAGAGCATCCACTATGTACACAGCACTCCACTGGGCACTAGTAAGGGTGAAGTGTGAGGAGATGGATTCAAAGAAAACTTGTACAAAGGGACAACCTAGCACAGTGTCAGGCATGTGGTAGGGTGTCAAAAAATGCTCCACAGACAAATAAAATGGCTCTGTTGTTGTGGTTATGTGCCGTCGAGTCGGCCCCGACTCATAGTGGCCCCTCCTTGGGTTTCCGAGGCAGTATCACTACGGAAGTAGGATTGCCCAACCTTCCTTCCGGGGAGTGGCTGGTGGGTTTGAACCGCCAGCCTTCTGGTTAGCAGTCAAGTGCTTTAGCCACTATGCTACCGCTCTAGGTCTCAGTTTTTTCATCAGCAAAATGAGTGAGTTATTTCATTTCATGTGTCCAGTATGGACACATGAAAATTCTACAGATATTAAAATAAACTTATCTTCATAAGGAGGCTAAAGAGGCATTATACTTTTTTGATCCTTAGTTTAATACCATTAGTCCAACACCATCAACAGCCAGATTGCTACCTCTTTGAGGCAGAGACTCAACATCAAACAGAATTTAGTTCCTATTGTGCCCCAGCCATGGTGCTGGTTAGGAACAGGGAGTCCAAGGCAATGTTTCTCAAGTGCTGCCCTCTAACCCCTTGCATCAAAATCACCCAGGGTGATTTTGCAGATTCTAGGGCATCATTCCTAGGGATTAGGTTTGGGTAAGTGTTGGGAAGGGGCCAAGAGTCAACATTTTAAATAAATATCTCAGGTGACACTGATGAACACTAAAGTTTGAGAACTACTCACCTAAGAGAAAGGAGCCCTAGATGTTCAATGGTTGAGAGCTCAGCTGCTATCTTAGAGACTAATGGTTTCAGGAGATGAGACCCAGTGATCTGCTCCCATAAAGATTACAGCCTAGGAAACCCTATGAGGCAGTTCTACTCTGTCTTACAGGGTCACTATAGTCCAAATAGACTTGAGGACAAACACATGCACACAACCTAGGAGAATGAAATTACACTAGCTGTCTCTTCAACCAGCACACCATTTGAATCAGGGGATGCGAACACAAATGCCTTCAGGTTCAGGCAGATAATCACAAATTGATGAAACAGGCCTGTAGGTCAAGAAGGAATAGACAAGGCTATGACACTGGAGATGCATGTCCTGACTAAAAGATATTTAAAAAAAATCAAAACTCTGCTGTGCAAACAAACACTTCTGGATACTGCCAGCCTACAGCCCTTGTAACGGACCCAACCCTAACAAAGCTGTTGTTGTCAAGTCAAAGCCAACACATGGCAACTCCATGTGTGCCCTCAGCCATCCTTTTGGCTAATACATGAGCGCTTAATGGTTGTGCTCCCAGGGAACCCTCCAAGAAAGTAAATAATACAAAAGTTCCAGAAGATAGGTGGGAAACCCAAAAACAAAACAAAACAACAAATAAAACAAGCTCACTGCCATTGAGTTGAATGTGACTCATAGCTCAGCCTTAGTATTTTTGTAATAACATTTAGCCGAGTGCTCTGTACAAATTAGGTGTTCAAAAAATGCATTGTTGATGAATTTCATTAATTAAAACAATGGACATTGATTTGACCTAGATAAAAGCTCATATGCACACTTCTCTTATCCACACACATTGTAAATTTTCATTTGTGCATGCTGTCTCCAGATACATAGCGTTACTTATTTGCATTGGTTAGTTTAAGTCTGGGGAAGAGTTAGGCTCATGGAAAGTCCATTCAGAATTTGCCTTAGTCCTTTAAAAATGTGAGTTTTAGCACAAATGCACAACATTTTAGAATGCACTGCTCACCATATCTCAGCCCTGCTGTGACTGGGGCTTTCTGCCTCCAGGAACAAACTGGATACCGGAGTCGAGTGACCAGGCCTGTTGATTAGAAAGAGAAAAGTTAGAGCTCTACTGAAGCAAACATACAAGTTACAGAACTAGGAAAAAAAATAATAATCTGATACAAAGACTACTTTTATTCTGAAAAACAAATTCCAAAGCCCAAACACTGGTATCACACCCTTCCTGAGAAGATTTGTAAATATAAGTGGGCAGGTAGTCAAGCTTAATGATTTCAATAGCACAGCTTTCTAGAGGGAAATATGTGCAATAATCAAATATTTGGTATCTTTTTCTCTTTATATACATTTAGTTATCATTTATGATCTGCTTGTGCGATAAAAAGAAACCAGGCTGGGCTTTTGCCACTTTCTCCAAGATCCCCTGTGAGAGTACCCCTCTGCTTTGACCTTTAGAACTCACCTCCTCCATTGTGTTGGTGGTAATTGATGAGGAGAGGGATTGAATCAAACACATACTTTTCAGCCACGTAGTATCGCTTGGGGTTGTCATTTGTTTCTTTGATATGATAGTGCTTTATAGAGGGATTGTTCTCACTTAAACAAATGAAACACAAGTACAGTGATTATTAACAGGCAATGTTTAGACACAAAAATGTTGACTGGTATCAGATCCCTATTAGCTTTGTTTCTTGACCTCTCACAAGAATGGTAGGTATACTTTAACTTGTAAGCCAGTCTCAGCAAGTTATCAGGGATGACTGGAGTGCTGTGTTAAAATGGATTCTGAGGCTGTGTCTGGACCCAACTGGAAACAGTGGAGTGATGGACTGGTGATGTTTCTTCCATGACCACAAAATGGTATCACATGTGTTGCATATTTATCTTCTTGGCTTTATAAATATAATTAATTGTCAGCATATACTGGGAAAGCATCTCTTGCCCTTTCATACTTATTTGACTTTGTGGAGAAGAGAATGAACATAAAAGGCCCTCTTCCTAGAGAGACCTGCTTGTAAGGTTAGCCTCTGGCTAGTATGTGGCACTGGGATTTTGGGAGGGTTCCTTAAGTGATGAAAGTGGTTCACTGTGCCTAAACTCTTTTATAAACAATGTGGTTTATGTTGAATAACTGCTTTCCTTCTGGGAGTCTGGAATTTGGGTACGTATAAGGTAGAAAGTACTTATGTGACCAGCCCCCAATTAAACCCAGGCACTGAGCTTTAATGACCTTTTTTGATAGACATTTCTCACATATTGCCACAATTTGTTGCTTAAGAAATTAAGTGTGTCCTTGGTGACTCCACTGGGAAAGGACTCTTGGAAGCTTGTGCCTGGTTTCCTCTGGATTTCACCCCATGTGCCTTTTCCCTTTGCTGATTCTGAGGTGGACTGGCCAGGAATCAAACTCTTGTCTCTCACATGGAAAGCAAGAATTCTACTATTGAATAATCACTGCCCTCCAATGAATGATAGAAAGCTTTATCAGCAGAGCCAGGTTTAGAAGTCACATCTTCTTGCTACCAGCCATGCTCTGGCTACCTAGTGCTGCTCTGACAAGAATATATACCTTGAACAAACAGGAGTTTATTCTCTTACAGTTGATGGCTTGAACAAACAGGAGTTTATTCTCTTACAGTTTGGAGGCATTAAGTCCAAGTTCAAAGTGCCAGGCTCTAGGGGCTGTGAAAGCCCCTCGACCTTGGGCTTCAGCTCTGTCTCTTGTTCCCAGCCCACGGAAGCTAGAGGCATCTCTTCACTCAGACAGCTACTGGCTACTGAGGCTAACAAGCCCAAGGTTGACAAATAAAATGGCATAGTCCCAATGTTACTAAACCACATGACAGGCCATTCATTCAAGTCCATGGAAAGTCCTAAGGTTGGCAGAGCATGGTAGGCTGTTGAACAATAACATGGCTACATGCAGGGCTCAAGCATGCCATAAACTAGAGACCACTGCCAAAGCTGTTTCTTATATACAGGAAGCAGACCTCATACTCAAAGGCAGCTACTCAGCTGCTCACAGTAGATTCCACCATGGAGTTGATTACCAGTCTCATCATGGGGAATACTACATCCAGCTGCCCAGCCATTCAACCAGACCTAGCCAAGTTGACACACAAACTTAACCACCACAAGACAGAAGCATCTTTTCTGCCACTCCATGTATCAAATTTCAGGACCAAGTATTTTATTTCTTAAAGCTTTGTATATGGGATACTCACTGAGAAGAGGACCTGATGTCCAGCCCCAGCTCTGTCACCTTCTAGCTAGGGGACTTTAGTTATGTCCTTAATCCCCCTAAACTTGGTCTCTGATGGAACAGGGAAAACAAAAACATTTCTAGTAACCCTCTACCTTTCACATTTTCTAATGTTGCTATGTGTTATCCATCACTCATCCACTTTAGAAGTCTCTCTCCCTACGCTGCTGAGCTAAGTTAGGATCATACCTTACAATGGCCTTGGTGAAAACAGACACAGTGTATGTTCCTGGAGTCCTGGAGTCTCGTACCATGAAGGCTCCTTCTTTGCCCTGGGATGGTTAGAAAGTGTGAAAGGTTAGTGATCCCAGGAAACCAAGCTTATACCCCCAGCTCCACTTTCTTGACCATGAAAGGAGGAATTAGTGTAGGTCAGGTTGGCATAAAGCAGACTCAGTAATAATGAGTACCATTTCATTAATTAGTTCAACAAATATTTCTTGTGCTCCTACTCTAGCACATACAGTTCTAGTGCTGCAATTAGCAAGTCATAAAGACAGATACTGCCTCGGAAACCCAAGGAGGGGTCGCTATGAGTCGGGCCGACTCGATGGCAAACAACAACAACAACAACAACAACAAAGATAGACACAGACTCTGTCCTCATGGAGCTGACCATATACTATACTCTTTACAGGTATTTTCCAACTCTCATCACTAAATTGCAATCTAGATATTACTATCTTCCATTTACTCATGTGGCTGCTGAATTCCAGACAGTTTAAGTGACTTTCCCATGATCCCACAGCTAGTTAGTTGCAGAGCTGAGATCTGAACCTTGGCATGTCAGCAAAGCCCATTCACATTCTACTACTCCATGTTGCTTCCATTCTGCAAAGATTAAAAGACCCTCCTCCATCCTCCCAAGGGTACAAATTTTCTGTTATGGAAGCTTTATCAGTCCTTTAGTTGGAGCATATTTCTCAGACTCTTTCAAGACTTCTGATTTTGCTGGATGGTAGAAGGAAATAAGAATATTAAGCTCCTGGATGCATGAGAGAGGTGAGGAGAAGGGAAAACCCAGAGAATGTACTTTTTATCATCTTGATGATTTTGCCAGGACTGATGAAATAAGCAAAAGTGAATGGATATACCACTATACTCACTTCCCAATGGGAAATTTTCAATCTTCTCTCTGTTTTGAAGACTTCATGCTTAAAGTTATTCCTATCTAGCTATAATCCTGTACTGGTAACTTGTGCAAAGTCTACTATGATTTACTTAATTTTGACAGAGTGAGGCCTGCATTCCTATTTATTGCTGAAAAGTATTACATTGTATGATACACCACATTCTGTTTATCAATGGTGGTTGACATCTGGGTTGTTTCTCCTTTTCGGCTATCGTGAATTTATTTCTGGCTTCTTTTGCTCAGCGTCATGTGTGTGAGATTCATTCGTGTAGCATGGCTTGATTTCTAAGCTTTTGCCTTTTTGCCAAGTAATTTAACTGTTGCTCTTGCCTCATTCTAATGTAATGGGTTAAACTCAAGGCAGGAAGAAAAAAAAGTTCAGCAGTCAGACTTTATTTGAGTATGTAACTTACTCTAAAGTAGTTGAAACATGGACCGAAAACCAAAAGTCTATCAACTGCTTGTGAAGAGGAGAGTGTGAATGTCTCTTCCTTTTAATTAAGAATGTTCTGTTATCCAAATTACAATAATAATAATAATGAGTGAAGTAATAATAATAATCATAAAAAGAATTTTTTGTTACTGTTGTTTTTCTTCTTCATTTAAAGAAGCCATTGTTTTTCTGAAAAAATTATAATCAGAGTGGGGCCCAGTTGTTAACCAGCGTAAATAATTCAGAGGAATCAGAAAAAGGAGAGATAAGTTTGTCAGTCAGCTCTGCAAAGTATGGAAGGCTTACATTCGCTGAAGCACTCTCTGCCTTTACTCTAGTTGCTCTGGGGAGCATTCAGCCACAGTGACAGGAAACTCTAGGTTTGGGGCTGAGGCAGCCAAGAGTTCTGAGGAAACTAAGGCATCCTGCGAGACACTCAGAGGAAGTCACAACCACAAAGAACATTTGAGCCTCAAGAGTCACTACTTGTATTGTGAGGATAAAGATTTTTGCCTTGTTAAGCCTGGCTCCATATTGTAAGAATAAAATTTTATATTATTTTTAGTTAAGATGCCGTTTCTTTAAAACCTGGCTTCAACCTTGCATTATAATTAACTTATTCTCTCACTAAGTTAGGAGCTCTGGTGGTGTAGCGCCTAAGGCATTTGACTGCTAACCAGAAGGCTGATGCTTCAAACCCACTGGCCACCCTCAGAAGGAAGGTTGGGCAATCTACTTCCGTAATGATATCACCTTTGAAACCCAAGGAGGGGTCACTAGGAGTCAGGTCTTACTTGAGGGCAGTGAGTTTGGTTTGGTTTGCTCACTAAGTTACAGTTATCAGTTCCTGATAGTTATCAATCAGTTCCTGCTGCATCCTGTGATCTGAGACAGAGCCATCTATGTCAATAAAGGCTCTTGGGCCAGATTTTAGGACCAGCCACCTAGGCTCTGACAAACACTAGCTCTGGGGGTGTAGTGGTTTGGCTGCTAACCAGAAGGTTGGCAAGTTCAAACTCACTAGCTGCTCAGTGGAAGAAAGATGAGGTGATATGCTTCCTTAAAGATTCACAGGCTTCGAAACCCAGCGGGGGTTGCTATGAATCAGAATAGGCTCAACAGCAGTGAATTTGGAATGGAGCCTCTTAAGGATTACCTGACTGCCAGGGACTCACAATAAACATTTTTTTTCTTAATTACCCATTGTCCTATCTAACTTTTCATACACTGTAAACTAATCCTGCCTGTTGTTGTTGTTGTCGGCCCCGACTCATAGCGACCCCTCCTTGGGTTTCCGAGGCAGTATCACTACGGAAGTACAATGCCCAACCTTCCTTCCGAGGAGTGGCTGGGGGGGTTGAACCGCCTGCCTTCTGGTTAGCAGTCAAGTGCCTAGTTGCTACTATTCACTGCCATCAAGTCGATTCGGACTCACAGTGACTCCCTTTGGGTTTTCAAGGCAGTAAATCTTTATGGAAGTAGATTGCCTGGTCTTCCTTCCCCTGAGTGGCTGGTGGGTTTGAACCACCAACCTTCTGATTAGCAGTCAGATGCCTTAGATACTGTGCTACCAGAGCTCCTTTGCCTATGTGCTATGTCTCTTTTTCCTTTAGTATTAAGAATCCTTGAAGGTAAATGCTGAGCAGAGTGGGTATTTTTGGAGTCAATGAGACCCCATTCATTTCTCATTTTTTTGTTTGTTTGTTTTTAAATCTTAAATCATTCATCAGTTAATGAAGTATTGTCTATTTAAAACAAAAAACAAAACCCGAACCCACCCTGGAGGAATGAAGAACACAAAGTACTCATATATTCCCTTATTAACTGTGTGTATGTGTGTGTGTGTGTGTGTGAAGAATCTTCCTTGTTCTAGATCAGATCATGAAACTGATTCACTTTCTGTATTTGGCCCCAGTTTATCCAACTGTAATCCAAACGTGAATGGACCAGATAATCTTTAAAGGGAATTCTCATCCTCACAGTCTTAAATTGTGTGAATTCTATATGTTTCCTGATTAAATATATGAACTTCAACTTCCTCATCTGGAAAATAACCTTTATAAGATAAGACTGTTGTGGGAATTAAAGTGCACAAAACAGTTCCTAGAACATAAAGCCAGAACCAAGACTCTAAGGGCCATTATTGCTCATCATTATTGTATGGTGTGGTATGCCATCTGTTGGAAGTACTGATTCTACTGTCTTCCTCCACCTGAGACAGACACATTGGCAGTATTATGAGTATATCTCTTTCTTTTTGTTCACATGAAGAGAAGGTGACCTTACAAAAGATTATCTTGTCACACAGGATAGATTATTGTGAAAAGCACTAATGGATAATTAATAGCCTTGTCATACTACATTATACTTAGAGAGTGTCTCTGATACCTTTCATTCTTGAAGTGATTGTTCTATTCTTCTAGAATAAACTTGTTATTAAGCCAAAATTGTGTCATTAATAGCATCTCAGAATCATGAGAATATGATTAACCAATGCCTTAGGTAAGGCTCCTGCTTGAAACTCAAGTCATTGAACATGCAAGGTGCTACAGGTTGTACTAAATGAGTTACAGAGTGAGTACCTGCAAGATGGGCTTAGACTAGAAGAGAAACTGCTAGGATTCACAGAAGAGTATAAAAAGTGTCACTGGAGGATGAATGACATAGGTTCAAAAGTGGGAGAAACCACATTCCGTGGCGAGGGTGAGGGAGGGCATGGAAAACGTCTTGGAAGCAGAAACATATGAAAAATTGATTGGGACTCATTAAGAGAGGACTTTTACTGGTTCTCAAACCTAGGTAAGTCCTAGAAACACCTGGTGTCATCCTTAGAGGCTCTGATTGGGTGAGGAAGGAGTCCAGGAATCTGTACTTTTTGAAAGTTCCCATAACATTGCCATGATCATCCAGGCTCTCCTTAAGCATAATTGTTCATTTAAAAACATTTATTAATTGTTTGACATATTTATTCATGCACTCAACAAGTATTTATTGAACAACTGCTTTGTGCTAGGTATAGTTTTGGATGCCAAGTCAGAGCAGGAATAAGATAAAAAGTATATATTCTAATTGAGAAATATGTATAGGGTAGTAGTTAATGAAATAAATCAATCCACCTCTTAACAACACTACATTTGTTATATAAGGGGACACTAAATATACCCATAGGAGCTCTGGTAGCATAGTGCCTAAGGCACTTGACTGCTCACCAGAAGGCTGGCGGTTCAAACCCACCAGCCACTCCTCGAAAGGAAGGTTGGGCAATCCTACTTCCGTAGTGATACTGCCTCAGAAACCCAAGGAGGGGTCGCTATGAGTTGGGGCCGACTCGATGGCAAACAACAAGAACAACAACAACAATAAATATACCCATAGTCCATAGGTGGTGCAAACAGTTAACATGATTGGCTGTTAACTGAAGGGTTGGAGGTTTGTCTACCTAGAGGCACCACAGAAGAAAGGCCTGGTGATCCACTTCTGAAAAATCAGCCATTGAAAACCCTGTGAAGCACCGTTCTACTCTACTCCACACATGGAGTGGATAGGAGTCAGAGTTGACTCAGTGGCAACGTTTTCTTACATATGCCTGTGAAGCTCTTCAGCTACTGTTTCAAACAGTATATGAGCAAAAGCTGAAAAATTAACAAGAAAATGCCATGCAGTTCCAGTTACAGAGAAACTGACAAGGACCCACTGAAATTTTCCCTCATATTATCAAAAGAGGGAAAGAAGATTTGAGAATAGTTTATACAATTAGAAAGACACAATGCTTCAACTGTTCTAGCAAGCAACAGGTTTTTAAATGCCTCAAAAAATCATTGTAAGATAGGAATCATCTTCAGCTAGTCATTAATGTGGGCTGTTTTAGGAACTGCTAATAGACAACAAGGATCTCTGATGAGGCATCTATCTCATCTGATAGGGCAGTGGTTGACTGCTTGACTGCTAAGCAAAAGACCAGCAATTCAAATCCACTAGCTGCTCCACAGGAGGAAGATGTGGCAATCTGCTTCCACAAAGATTTGCAGCCTTGGAAACCCTATGGGCAATCCTACTTTGTCCTGAAGAGTTGCTATAAATTGCAATCAACTTGATGGCAGTGGGTTTATTTATTTATCTATTTATTTTAGATAGACAATACTTCATTAACTGATGAATGATTGAAAATTAAAAAAAAAAAAAAAACAATAACAACACTGTAGTTGTTTAAATACAGTGTAATTCAGGTTTTTAATTAATTTTACTCTCCCTTCAATTACTCCTTCTTCTTCTTCTTGTTAGTTGCCTTCAGGTCAATTCTGAGTCATACAACCCTATGTACAACAGAATGAAACACTATCTGGTCCTGCACCATCCTCACAGTCCTTGCTATGCTTGAGCCCATCATTGTAGCCACTGTGTCCATTCATCTCAATGAAGGTCTTCCCCTTTTTCTCTCACACTCCACTTTACCAAGCATGATATCCTTCTCCAGAGACTGGTTCCTTCTGACCACATGACCAAAGTAGGTGAGACAAGGTCTGGCCATTCTTGCTTCTAAGGAGCATTCCAGTGGCATTTCCTCCAGGACAGATTTGTTTGCTCTTCTTTCTGGTGACCCATGGCATTTTCAATATTCTTCACCAACACCATAATTCAAAGGTATCAACTCTTCTTTGGTCTTCCTTATTCATTGACCAACTTTCACATGCATATGAGGTGATTGAAAATATGATGGCCTGGGTTAGATACACCTCAGTCTTCAAAGCAACATCTTTGCTCTTCAACTTAAGAGATCTTTTGCAGCAGATTAGCCCACTGCAAAAACATCTGATTTCTTGACTGCTGCTTCAATGGGTATTGACTGTGGACCTGAGTAAAAGGAAATTTTTGACAACTTCGGTCTTTTCTCTATTTACCATAATGTTGCTTATTTTGTCCACTTGTGAGGATTTTTGTTTTATGTTGAGTTGTAATCCATACTGAAGACTTGATCTTCATCGATAAGTGCTTCAAGTTCTCTTCACTTTCAGCAGGTAAGGTTGTGTTATCTACATATCACAGGTTGTTAATGAGTCTTCCTCCAATATTATAACCACATTCTTCTTCATAAAGTGTAGTTTCTCAGATTATTTACTCTGAGAAATGCCATTCAGTTCCAGTTATACAGAAACTGATAAGGACCCACTGAAATTTTCTCTCATATTATCAAAGGAAGAAAAGAAGATTTGATAAAGTAGTTCAGACTATTATAAAGAAATAATGCTTCAACTGTTCTAGCAAGCAAAATGTTTTTAGTTGCCTCAAAAATCATTGTAAGATAGGAATCATCTTTAGCTATATAGTATATAGCTATATAGTATAAAAGAGCTCTAGTAGCATAGTGCCTAAGGCACTTGACTGCTAACCAGAAGGCTGGCAGTTCAAACCCACTAGCCTCTCCTCGGAAGGAAGATTGGGCAATCTACTTCCGTAGTAATACTGCCTCAGAAACCCAAGGAGGGGTTGCTATGAGTCGGGTCCAACTCAATGGCACATAACAACAACAACAACAACAACAACATATAGTATAAAGATTGAATAAGTATGTTGAAGGGATACAACCTTGACACACGCCCTTCCTGATTTTAAACCATACAGCATTCCCTTGTTCTGTTCAAACGATAGCCTCTTCATCTATATACAGGTTCTCATGATCACAATTAAATGTTCTGGAATTCCTATTGTTCACAATGTTATCCATAATTTTTTTGTGATCCACACAGTCTTTGCACAGTCAATAAAACACAGGTAAACATCTTTCTATTATTCTTTGCTTTTAGCTAAGATCCACCTGACATCAGCAATGATATCCCTGGTTCCACATCCTCTTCATTTCTGGAAGTTCCCTGTGAATATACTGCTGCAACCATTTTTTAATTATCTTCAGCAAAATTTTATTTGCATGTGATAGTAATGATATGTTTGAACATTCTATTGGATCACCTTTCTTTGGAATGGGCACAAATTTTCCAGTCAGTTGGCCAGGTAGTGTCTTCCAAATTTCTTGGCATAGATGAGTAACTGCCTCCAAAGCTGTGTCCGTTTGTTGAAACATCTCACTGGGTATTCTGTCAACTCCTGGAACCTTGTTTTTTGCCAGTTCCTCCAGTGCAGCTTGTATGTCTTCCTTTAATGCCATTGGTTCTGGAAATTACTCCTGATTATTCAATTTTCACTATGGTATCTAATAATACTATACTAACACAGGTTGGGGGTCGAGGTGCTGGGCTGGCCACATATGGCTCACAGGTTTGACTTGTTAAAAAACTACAAATTACCAGGAATTAACTCTAGAGATTCTGATTCTGTAGTTCTAGATGGAATCTGAGAATCTCCATTTTTTAAGTTTCCCTGTGATTCTAATGTCTGTTCTATTGGGAACCACAGGAAATGATTTAAGTGTCGAGTTGTTATAAAGCCAGAACCCTTTCCAGTAATGTCTCAGCTTACTTTCTCTGCCTCCATGAATCGTTCTCAGTTCCTCTAGAGGCTTCTCTGAACTCCAGATCTGGGACTGCCCCCATATGCTCACCTTCTGTGTTAGATTTTCCTCCAATTCTTTTTCAGAGTATGCCTTGCTTCCCAATAGAGTTAGTTTAAAGCTCCTTGAGGGCAAAGATCCTGTTTAAGCAACTGGCAATAAAGGAAATGGGCAGACCTGCCATTATTGTGATGGATGCTTACACAGGTGTGATACAGAGACTGCCTCTTAAGCACGTGTCACAGATGAACACACGGGGTGTTTTTGAGAATCCATGTGGACTGAACTTGTTCTCTTGCTGAGAACAAACTGCCCAAGGACAGAACACTATACCTGACCTCTTTGCTAGCTGTCAGCTAATCTGTGACTTAGCCAAAGAAAGAGAAAACAGGCCACTGCTCCTAAACACAGTTTTTCCTTTTCCCCTTCCTCTTTCTTCTTACAGAAGCCCTGGTGGTACAATGGTTAAGTGCTTGGCTGCCAACAGAAAGGCTGAGGTGGAACTCACCAGCTGCTCTAAGATATGGGAGTGCGCTTCCAAAAAGATTATAGCCTTGGAAACCCAATGGGACAATTCAACTCTGTCCTATAGGGTTGATAAGAGTTGAAATTGATTCAACAGCAACAGATTTCCCTCTTATAGGAATTATGTTTTTGCCTTTGGTAGATGAAATCAATCCATTGCCAATTTTTCTTGTACAAGGTAAACAACATTCTAATAATTAGCTATATGCCTTTGAATTATTGTTTGACAGTATTCATTTCCTTTCCACCTTTCCATCACAGCTTTTCATTCCTTTCCTGACATCCTCCCCTATCCCTTTCTCTAAGGCTCACATGTAGTCACTGCCTAAGGTATTTAAAAACAAACAAACAAACAAACCCAGTTGCCGTTGGCGTCTCTATGTGTACCAGAGTAGAACTGTGCTCCATAGGGTTTTCAGTGTCTGATTTTTTGGAAGTTTATCACCAAGGCTTCCTTCTGAGAAGTCTCTGGGTGGATTTGAATCTCCAACCTATGAGTTAGCAGCTGAGCATATTAACCATTTGCATTACCCAGGAACTGATCCAAAGTAACGGTTACTGGAAAATTCTACCATTTGCTAGTTCTGTAAATCCCAGCAGACATGACAACCACTGTATTCACATAAACCACAGCATGACTAAAAAAAAAGAGCATAATTCATTTTATTTTAAGTCAAAAGAAAAGTTAAGGAGACTTACTGTATCCAATAGAAGTTTTTCAGCTTTATCACGGCTGATGCTCTTATTGTACCACCTGAAAGCAGGAAAAAGTCATGTGTCAATGACGTTTTAAAATTCCATTATGTACTTATAAGAGATAATTCTGGAAAATGATATGGTCATTTTCTCTTTCTACCAAGTCTTAAACTTTAAAGCAAAGGAGTGATACTCTTACATGTAATACAATGTTCAGCTGGAGGGGAACAGATGAAACAAGACTGGGAAAATATTGATGATTGTTGAAGCTGGGTATTGGGTACATGAAGGTTCATAATATTATTCTCTCTACTTTTGTGTATGTTGGAAATATCCCATCATAAAATTTTAGGAAACATTTATCCTTTTCATTTTAGAACTCAGAAGGTGGTTTTAAGTAGGACAATGCTTGGGCAGCTATGAAAATTTAATGCAAATTTGAAAGTTTAGCAAACATCCTTTTGAAAGAACCATAGTATTTTCCTCTTTAAATTGGTCTCACCATCCTTGCTTATAAAGAGCATTCTGCCTGTACATTTTCCAAGACAGATGTGTTTGTTCTTCTAGCAGCCCATGGTATATTCAATATTCTTTGCCAACACCATTATTTAGACATCAATTCTTCTTCAGTCGTCCTCATTAATTGTCTGGCTTTTGCATGTGTATGAGGTGATTGAAAATACCATGGCTTGGGACAGGTGCACTTTAGTCCTCAAAATGGTATCTTTGCTTTTTAATACTTTAAAGAGGTATTTTGCAGCAGATTTGTCCAATGCAATACATCATTTGCTTTCTTGACTGCTACTTTCATGGACATTGATTATAGATCAAAGTAAAATGAAATCCTTGACAACTTCAATCTTTTCTCCATTAATCATGATGTTGCTTATTCATCCAGTTGTAAGGGATTTTGTTTTCTTTATATTGAGGTGTAATCCATATTGAAGACTGTAGTCTTCGATCTTCATCAGAAAATGCCTCAAGTCTTCTTTACTTTCAGCAAGCAAGGTCGTGTCATCTGCATATTGCAGGTTGTTAATGGGTCTTCCTCCAATCCTGATGCCACATTTTCTTCATATAGTCCAGCTTCTTGTATTATTTGTTCAGCGGGAAAATATGCTTCATCGTATTCAAATTGTAATCCATTAGTAGTGGCTGCCTTAAGCTGTTCATTGAAAAGAATTTTGAGATCAAATCTGGGCTCAGTGGGTAAGAGTGTCAATATCTAATAGTGATACCCAAGTTCAATGCAAGGGGAGGGATCATCATCAAGTGTACTGCAATATGCCTTCCTTTATCCTGTCTGACCCTTCATTTTAGAGAGGGGTGAAAAAGCCAACAAATGAGATTAACTTGCCCAAAGTCAAGACTCCAAAGACCTGTGACCTGTTGCCAATGAGTTGATTCCAACTCATTGCCACCCTATACTGAAACCCATTCCCATTGAGTCGATTCAGACTCATAGCAAACATATTGGGCAGAGTAGAACTGCCCTATAGAGTTTCTAAGTATGTAAATCTTTATGGAAGGAGACTGTCTCATCTTTCTCCCGTGGTGTGGCTGGTGGGTTCAAACCACTAACTTTTTGGTTAGCAGCTAGATACTTTAATCACTGCACCATCAAAGCTCCTTCCAACACTACAAAGGCAGAAGAATTCAACCCAATCAATTGTCTTGTAATGTTTTAGCAATTTTTTTTTTTTTAAATGGTTCAAACTCTAGTTTAGGAATACCAGTACATTTAGTTGCTATGTCTCTTTAGTCTCTCCTTTAATGTGGACTAAATTTGCAGGCTTGGCCGTCTTCCATGATATTAGCATTTTTGAATGGTATAAGACAATTATTTTGTAGGGTATTTCTCAGTTTGGATTTGCCTGTTATTTCCTCCTGACTAAACTCAGATTATGGATTTTGGACAGGCATACCACGGAAGTGATGTGATATCCTTCTCAATGCACCACACCGGGAGACACATGTTGTCTGTTGGACCCATTATTGGTGATGTGAACCTGGGCATTTGGTTAAGGTGGAGTCTACCAGGTTTCTTCACTTCATAATTAATAAGTGATTGGTTAGGAGATACTTTGAAACTATGTAATTATATAGTGCCTCATCAAATTTTCACTCCTTAGTTGTCACATCTATTGATGATTCTTGCCTGAATTGGTTGATACTTTGAGTTACAAAATAGTGATTTTTAAACTTTATAATTCCTTCTACATCCATTAGTTAGCATTCTAGTATAAGAAAGAGCTTTCCCTTCTGACTTACTGATCTATATATTATGGATTCTTTTTCTATTCAATGGATTATAGTCTACTAGGAAGGTTGGGCAATCCTACTTCCGTAGTGATACTGCCTCGGAAACCCAAGGAGGGGTCGCTATGAGTCGGGGCCGACTCAATGGCACATAACAACAACAACAACAACAAGATCATTATTTATTTTGATATTCAAATTGTCCCAAATTTTGTTAGTGGCATCCTCTTGAAGCTGACTGTTTTGTTTGTTTGACATGTCCACACCTTTCTTTTTTTTTTTTTTTTAGTACTTCTTTATTTTCTTCATCACAAGTGGTCGGTTCATCTTGTCTTTCCCTGACTCAACACTGGATTCACAAGCCATTGCTCCAAGACATCCTGGTTCTCTTAAGTGAAAAGTGTTTTTCATAAACCACTTAACTACAATTTAATTTTACTAAACACTAAAAAATTCCATTACAATTATATTCCTGTGAACTCTTATAAATGATAGCTTGGAAATAAACAATTAGGACAGTATAAGCAGATATTGAATACCTATTTGTTTGCCTATTATTTTGATATTGGAAGTCTTGTGGTTAACCATGTTTTAAATTTTTTATATTTAATCCAGTATTCACAGTGTCTAATGCTTTTCAAGTAAGACAAATAGTCTTGAGACTTCCAACAGATCTTTTCATTTTGCTACAATCTGTTCCCTTTTGATAAAAGAGGAGGTAAGTACCTATACCCTTCCCCTTCTCTTATTTAAGGTGCTTCTCTTGCACTTATTTAGGGGCAGAGGATGAGGAAAAAGAAAGTGAATCAAGAAAAGAAAAAGCTTAACAGTTTCAGAACCAATCTATAATATATTACTAACCTAATAACCCAAACTCATTGCTGTTGAGTCAATTCAGACTCATGATGACCCCATGTGTTAAAGAGTAGAACTATGCTCCATAGAGCTTTCTTGGCTGTGATTTTTATGAAAGCAGACCACCAGGTCTTTCCTCTGTGGTGCCACCGAGTGGGTTTTGAACCTCTGACCTTTAGGTGAGTAGTTGAGAGTAAACAATTTGTGCCTCCCAGAAACATCTCCTAACCTGTTGTTCCACCACTTGACTGTCAGTTTGTTGTACTATGGCGGCTGGCATGTTACTGTGAAGCCAGAGGCTATTTCACCAGTATTTGGCACACCAGCAGGGTCCCCCATTGTGGACAGGTTTCAGTGGAACTTCCAGACTACGACAGACTAGGAAGAAGAAACATTGCCTAACCTAAGGAATGCCATGTGTTTGGAAAACAAAATAATCTTACTCATAGGTTTCCAGGTTATTTGGAGATTTTTCCACCAGATAACTGCTTGGTACATATCCTTCATGCCTGTTAAAAGATAAATTAGTGTTTAGGTTAATTAGACCTAGTTGTCACATCTTTATTTTATAGATTTAATCAACTAAAAGTTAAAGATGTAGAAGTCCCACAGTACTTGGCACTAGTATAACAAACTTTAACGCTTTAGAATAAAAGAATTGGTAAAAATAACAACCTGCTAACTGTTAAAGGCAATAGATTTCATCACTAAAATATGAACCATAAAAATAAGAAATAGCTATTTTGTTTTAAAAGCTCTGCTTGCTGCTCTCCTGACTGTGAAATTTCCTCTACTGGAAAGAAAAAAAAAGGTTAATGCTCAGTCTCTCTATTTTCTATGATGAAACTTTTTTTTTCATGTATGAAAATACATGAATATACATGAAATACTCTAATACCATCATTTTATGTCAAGAAACCAAAATATTAAAATATAAAAATTACTTTCCAAAGACAGGTCTCAAAAGATACTACTAGGTAATATTATGGGAGCTCTGGTAGCGTAGTACCTAAGGCACTTGACTGCTAACCAGAAGGCTGGAGGTTCAAACCCACCAGCCACTCTTCGGAAGGAAGATGGGGCAATCTACTTCTTTAGTGATACTGCCTCGGAAACCGAAGCAGGGGTCGCTATGAGTCGGGTCCGACTTGATGGCACATAACAACAACAACAAAGGTAATATTATAAACTCTTTAATGCAAGTTTTTGTTAATTAAGCTTTTTCAGACCTAAATGATATAAATATGAGAAAATAGGATAAAGTCAGGCTGGATTGGTGGGGGCATCACATTTAAGCAGGAATTAATAATTATTCATAAAAAAGAAACATGGGTAAAGAGAATAATAAGAATACCAAAATATTTTATATTTGAATATGGCTTTGTGTAGTTTTCAAAGCACTTTCACATTCATTATCTCCTTCAACACCACAAGGTGAGAGCTCTGTCACTTCCGCTCTCTGGGCCTCTGACTTTGTACCTGTAAAATGAGGAACCTAAACTAGATTAACCATAAAGTTGGACTCTGCCAATTTACAAAAGAATGTCTGATACTTTCTTGCTTCTCACTCTTAAAGTGTTTCCAATTTTTTGCAGAATAACGCTATTTTTCAGTCTGGTGATTATGTTTAATAGGGAATTTTTAATATTTTCCACAGATTTTTTTTTTTTTTTTTTGAGAAGGGAAGAAATAAAAAATAGAGATGTCAAATACAGGATAATTATCTTGTATCTTGTGCCCATGGCAGGCACTGCCACTCTACCATGCACACTATCTTAAGGGAGTTGGACTTTGGGGCTCAGAATCATCCTTGACATCCTTAAGCCAAATCAACCAGGAGAGACAGCTTGTTCGAAAATTTTTTGCAGTCCTTCTGTAGCTCTCTTTTGGAATTCTCCTAATTCTGTCTGTTTTTGCCATACTATATACATACAACTGTATTAACAGATCAAAAAATATTTTTGCTTTCATACAGAATTACTATGTTTTAATATGCCAACTAAAACTGGGTTATCAACACAAATGATAACAATTCCTTTCATTTGTATGTGATAGAGGATTTATGAAGCCCTTTCACTTCCATCATCTCACTGGTTTTCTCAACACTGTGAGATGGATGAAGCTGAGATTGTCATTTACATTTTTCAGATAAGGGAGTTGATTTACAGGGGTTAAGTGACTTGTCCAAAGCCACATACAAGAGTAACAGTTATTAAACTCCAAATCCCTTGTCTCCCCATCTTGTGTACTTTCCACCATATCACACTATTATAAAGTAACCTAGGGAAATTCCCACAATGCAGACTGCTTTTTGAGGTGTCCTCTTTGATGCTCTCTGAAGTGCCAAGTGTTGAGCCTTTCCACAGGCCACTGTTCAAAGGGTAAATCATCATTTGGGGAAGTGAGAACTAGGAGAAGAAATTTCCTGGCACAGTGGTGCTAAATGTCAGTTGACTGAACTGGTGAATTTTTGAGTAAGTTTTTCTGGTGTTTGCAGATCCAGGCAGCCTGCAGATAGCTCCTCCCCATAATAGGCAATGAGAAGGTCATGTGACCAGCCTCATTTGCCCATGAGTGAGCCAGAGAGCTAGTTCTAGATGATGGGTTTGGGGTCTATTTCTAGCTACCAAGCTACACTGCCTCCTAAACAATTCCTGATTTAACCACATCTTACCTGTCCCTCCTGAAAATGTAAATTTGGTGAATGTAAATGTAAAGTCTTACCCTTAAAGATATCTATGCCCCTCCAAAAGTATTAAATTAAAAATATATTTGCATCTCTTTTTCAGAATTTATCAAATTGGCTTTTAAGTTTAATGATAGTTTTAGTGAGAATGTAACAAAATAAGGACTCCTGCAACTGTATTGGTGGGTATGTAAATTTGGCAACCTTTTTGAGGGAATTCCTATAAGAATGAAGCTATCTCATACTCTGACTCAACAGTTACACAATTAGAAATATGTCCTATAGATAAATATTAGAACATCAGTGAAAAATAGGAAGATCCTCAACGATATGGATTGACACAACATATATTCTCAGAAGATTGCCAAGATACGTGAGCAAAAGATCATCATTTGGGGGCCTTGATTGAAACAGCAAAGAAAACAAAGGAAATAAACTGCAAACTAAATGTCCCACAGTGAAAGATTGCCTAAATATTTATAATACAATGATAAATTATAATACTACACAATTATTTAAAAAATAAGGTAGGTATGCATGTGCTGATGTGAAAAGATCTTCAAGATATGTCATTAACAGTTAAAAGCAAAATGAAGAGCAAAAATGTAGACTTAGTGTGTAAATGCAAAAAAAAAAAAAAAGACGTATTTGCAGATGAGAAATGCTGGTGGCACAGTGGATGAAGTGCTCAACTATAAACTGAAAGTTTGGTGTTCAAACCCACCAGCCACTCCATGGGAGAAAGATGTGGCAGTCTGCTTCTGTAAACATTTAAAGCCTCAGAAACCTTATGGGCAGTTCTACTCTATCCTATAGGGTTGCTGTGAATTGGAATCTAAACACAGCAATAAGTTTTTGTGTGTGTGTGTGAATAACTTTCTTTTTTTCCCAAGGATACACACAAAAAAATGTGTTAATAGTAATTACTTTTGGAATCGAAAGGAACTCTGGTGGCTCAGTGGGTAAGGCATTTGGCTGCTAAACAAAAGGTTGGCAGTTTGAACCCATAAGCTGCTTTGCAGGAGAAAGATGAAGCAGTCTGCTTCCTTAAAGATTTACAACCTTGGAAATCCTATGGTGGCACTTCTACTTTGTACTACAGGGTCACTGTGAGTCAGTATCAACTCCATGGCAGTGGGTTTGATTTTGGTTTTTTTGAATCAATGTGGGGAAGAAGGAAGATGGCTTATTTTTCATGTATGTTTCTTTGCAGTGGAGTGGTTTTTTTGCTTTTATTTTTTTCTTAATAAATTATTGACATATGTTATCCAGCTGTTGCAATGATGGGGCATTTTCTTTTTCTTTTTTATGTTTTCAGTTAAAAATAACTCCATGCTTTAAAAATGTTTAAACCCTTCATATTAATATGAAAGTGTGCTCGTTGCAGTGCTATTAAAATTTGTATAATAATGGAAACAATCAAAATACCCAACAAGAGGGAATTTGTTAAATTATGGTACATTTATATGCTGGATTTATAAAGTCATTGAAGTTATATTCTGGAGAATGTTTCAAGCACATGTACACCCTTCTGTTACAGTGTTGTTGTTAGATGCCATGCAGTTGGTTCCTAGAAACCCTCTGTACAACAGAATGAAATGTTATAGTGTGACTCTGATGCATTTCCACTAGGCATTAGTATCAAACTCATGTATATCCCAGAGCACTCTGAAGGTTATTTCAGATTAGGTAAAGGCTCAGATGACTTTTCCATTCAAAAATTCTATAGTGGTCAATCAATATTTGTACAACTTTGCTTTTGCCATGAACCACTTGGACAGCTAGTTTAATGATTGTAATTGTAACTAAATCCTACTATCTTCTTTCTGATTCTTTTTAGTGTATCTAATCTGTACCATCTCTACATGCCTTTCTTTCCATCAAAGTAAGCTCATCACAGTGGGATATACCTTTATCCTCACTTAAACACTCAAGAACAATAATGCTTTGCAGAAAAAGCTTCCAATCTCCCAAATTGTGGATGTCAGTGGAAAAACCCAGGGATTTTTAGATGAGAGTGCTTGAGGTAGGGTACAGGCAGCAAGCATGGCAAGTGACTGCCTCATAGCCATGTCTGAAAAGGGGAAAAACTCCCCTTAGCTACTTCCTCTCCTCCCTTTTCCTTCTGCCTCTGCTCTCTCCTCCTAGCTCAGTATGATGGTCACACTGAGAGAAGCAGGACATGCTATTCCAGTGTTTTCTTTGTCTTCACCATACCTTGAACCTTGGAACAGTAACCACCAGTTACCATCAAGTCAACACTGACTCTTGGAGACCCCATATGTGTCAGAGTAGAACCGCGTTCCAAATGGGTTTCAGTGGCTTTTTTTTCAGAAGCACATCATTAGACCTTTCTTCTGAGGTGCGTTTGGATGGACTTGAACCTCCAGCTCATTTGGCCAAGCACATTACCGGTTGGCACCACCTAGGGACTCCACAGTAACCACAAAAGTTCCTTACCCATTCCTGTCCTGAACTCTCCACCAATGAATCTCAGAACTGTCCAGCAGGTAATATTCTTCATTGCGGCGAAGCATAAGTTCCTGCGGATCATTTGTTTGGTAGTCATACAAGGCAATGACCAAAGTTTCGTCAGGTTCCTGAAGTGACCGCTGGGTAAAGGAGACAACAAAGTCAAGCAAACTCACAAAAATGAAGTAAAATGCAGAACAAGGTTAGTAAATTCCTGAGCCATTACTTGCCCCTAGATCTATGGCACACCAACACACCAGTTTCTATAATTCACTGGAATTTCACTGAAGCAATCTACCTTCTAGTTGGCTCTCTTTACGAATTAGAATTATTCATGAGATGAACACAATAAGGAGCTGGAATTCATTGCCTTTCTCATTCTGTGAGGTAAATTCTGACTATTGAATCCCAGGCAGTCACATGCTTTGACAAGAATCTGTTGGTTTCTCTATATGTATCATGCTGCACATTACAGTCTCTTTGGGGAAAGGTGATACAGTCAACATTAAGTCATTCAGTTGATGCTTTGCTGATTTGACTGGTGGGTTGTCCAGATTAATGGGATTATAGACAATCAGGAATAGAAGGCCTCTGAAAGATCATTTAATCCAACACTCTGATTTTGAATGGGGAAATTGAGGCACAGATGGGGAAATGGATGTGGCCAAGTTTAGAACTTTAGTCTTAAAGCCTTCTCCACTAAAGTACACAGTCTCCCTTCTTTCTTTTGTGGGTCCTCTTTTACTCATATCTCTACCCCTCAGTAGCTTTTTTAGGATGAGATATTGAGGACGTGAGGAAGAGATTGTAAAACAAACAATCACAAGAGTTCAGGATGATATACTCGCCACAGGTTGGCATATTTTTTGAAAGAGTAAATAAGGGAAAAGATAGAGATTTCTGGCTAAAATATGGTTTAATGTTGGGGATATCACAGTTCTTTGAGTATAGGTATTTCCCACTTTTCAAAAGTTTGCTTTGTGCCACTTTGCTTTTACAAAAGACCTACATGTTTTTGCTAGTGAAAAGAAATCTGAAGATGTTTATTTTTTTGAAAAATGGCAAAAAGTGACACTCTAGTTTGCAGTGAGCCATTAAAGAGGCAGCATGAACCTTGAGCAGTGACAGTGGTACTGTCACACTCCTTCCCCAGGGTCTACACTCAGCATCTCAGTATCAAGCCACCAAAGCTTTGAACTGTGTCTGTGAGCACTCTGTGTTAGTGTTATTTTATGTGTTATTTAGTATGATTTAGTAGGCCATTTTGGGGGGTCTGGGGATGGTCAAATTTCTCTTATATCAATTAATGGTAATTACTTCTTCGCTTTCTGCCATTTCAGTTTACAAAATTCTCTACTTTCAGATGGGAGCTCTGGTGGCATAGTGCCTAAGGCATTTGACTGCTAACTAGAAGGCTAGCAGTTCAAACCTACCAGATAGTGGGGGAAAATCTGTACATTGCAGCATCTGGCAACATAAAAATAATGAAGCTGAAAAAGAAAAGACTTGTCATACTTATGTAGTATGTTATCCCAGCTGAAGTCCAGGTATTTGGGAAGCTTATGAAGTGGTGGTGTCCCGGATACCTACAGACACGAGTCAGTGGGCCTGCGGTCTTCATTCTAAAAACTACTGGAAGGAATAGCTGCATTATAGGACACCTAAATAATATAAAGGAGCTCCGGTGGCATAGTGCCTAAGGCATTTGACTGCAAACCATAAGCCTGGCAGTTCAAACCCACCAGCCCCTCCTCAGAAGGAAGGTTGGGCAATCTACTTCCATAGTGATAGTGCCTTGGAAACCAAAGTAGGCATCACTATGAGTCAGATGTCTGACCCAACTCAATGGCAGTGAATTTTTTTTTTTTTTTGAAACAAGATAAAGGAGAAAAATGGTTTGGTATGCATTTCAACTAAATGATTAATCCCACTGAACAGAAAGATAAGAGCAGAACTTCTCAAACCATGGTGGTACCATCCCAGAGGGGACACTTTTGACATCTTTTGGAGTGTTCCAAATGTCAAAAATATTGAGATGTACCACTGGCATCTAGTGGGGATGATCAGTGACACAAAACACTCTGCAGTGTCCCATATCCTATACAAATTTAGAATGTCCTATTTGACTAAAACTAAAGCCAAACCCACTGCCATCAAGTTGATTCTGACTCAACTCCACATGCTTCAGAGTAGAATTGCTCTCTATAGGGTTTTCAATGGCTTTGCTTTTTTGCAAGTAGACTACCAAGTCTTTTTTCCAGCACCACTGGGTGGATTCAAACTACCAACCTTATGGTTACCAGCTGAGTATAAACTGTTTACACCACCTAAGGACTTTTCCTGTTAGAAATTCATGTGGTAAGAAACCTACTTATACTAACAATATACAATAATAATCTGAGCCTAGATCCTACTCTACCTTATACAAACTACTGGGCTTTCTAGGAATACTACTTTGTAAATTGGGGGACTATTATACTTGCTTTAGTTTACCAAAGTTCAGGTTAGTTTGGTTTAGTTACAGAACTTTACCAAGAGTTGTTCACTGTTTGGAAAACCATATCACAGATGGTAATAGTGTATCTGAGTCACTGGAACAGGAATGTTGATACAACGTCCCTGTATCAGGCCACATCTGAGGTGGAAAATTCACTGGAATTCTGCTGATAGGTGTAAGCAATTGATTATTTCATTACATCTTCCAGTACAGTCATGATCCAATAATTATATAGAGAAATAAATTATTTTAATAATTTATTTTATTTTAATTTAATTTTTTTGAGTGCTTAACCTCATTTATTTTTAGAATTACAGATAGAGTATTGATTTCTAAAAATTGGTGTTGAGGTAAGTTGTATTATCTATTAAATTATTTTCAGGATAATAAAGGGGGATTTATAAAATATTTGTTATTAAAAGGGGGCATTGGATATGATAAGGTTTGGAATCTCTAACTTAGAGTAAGAAAATGAAACAATAGCATCTGAAGAGACTGTGAGGCTCTGGACCCAAGATGGGCTGGTTGGGGCCCAGGTGATAAGAGGAGGAAGGGAGTAGACAAGAGGCCCACCTCCCAGCCACTCTGCTACAGGTCTCACAATAGATCTGGCCTCCAAGAATTTGGCCTGGTCTGGCTGGGGAGAGCACCACTGAGCTGAGAGATACTTTCCCAGTGAGTTCAGGTACTGGTGGCAGGGATAGGGTATCTTAACAGGAAGGCAGGGAGAAAGGACACAGGAAAGCATGTTCTTTAGTCACCCCTAAGGAAGCCAAGATTGGGAGAGGCCTTGAAGAAGGAGCTGAGTTCCCAGCTATTTAATGAGGGCCAAGAGAAATTAGAATTTGAACTTCAATGTGCACATGGCCTTGTTTGTACCCGTAGGCTGGAGGGCTGGAATTATCTGTCTCCATCCTGACCAAAAAACAGCTGCCCTCACTCTTTGGTGAACTGACCCTATCCCACTGTCTCTCTCACATAGAATGTTTGGTCTGTTAGCTTAGATTTTGGATTAAAAAATACCTTTTCTATATACCAATCCAAGATGCCATCACTACTTAGGGGACAAAACAAGCAGGTGAAGAGAAAAATGAATTCCTGTTGCTCAAAGTAAGAGAAACGTTGAAATGGATGTGTGGTTGAAACCAAAACAGTGATTCCAAAACACTTGTGGTCAGAATACTCAAAACAGTACCAACACTGCTTCTTTAAGAAGTCTGAAAAACCAAATGATGTGGCAGTGTTTTCTGCCTTTTCTTCTATGCTGAAAATAAGACAAAAGCAAACTGGGACTGGAGAGGAATCAACTGCAAGCCAGGGCAAGCAGTGGGATGCAATGTGTTCAAGGAACGTGGGGAAAAAATTCTTTAGAGGATCAATGAGAGAAGAGGGAAGAGAACTCATTTTCTGCTAAGTTTTCATACATTTCTTTCCTGTCCTTGTAGAGTGGGCTGATGAAAGATCTAAAAACCAGCCTGAGGTGTTGAGTGGAGAAGCTGTCAGATTTGAAATGTCACCATTTTGGCTGAAGGGGAAAAAGCAAAGTGCATCCTCAGGAAGAAGCCTGAAGCAGAATCAGTAGCTTCTGGAATAAAGGGCAAGTACTCAAATGTGGGGAGTTTCTGGGTGGTACAAAGAGTTAAAGTGTTCAACTGTTAACCAAAAGGTCAGAGGTTCTAGGACACTCAAAGGTGCATTGGAAGAAAAGTCTGGTTATCTACTTCTGAAAATTCAGCCACTGAAAATCCTATAGAGTACAGTTCTACTCTGACACATAGGAGTCACCATAAGCCAGAATCAATTTGACTGCAACTGATCAACTTAAGTGTGGAACGGGTGTCACTATGACCATAAAGTGAGAGTGGATTGTTTGTTCTCATATTTATTTTTTGTCTCGTTGACAGAATAAGCTCCCCCAGAGTAAGTTCTATATTGTCTAAGTGATGGGAATCACTATAGCATAAGCCAATGGATCACAAACTTGAGCATGCTTCAGAATCATCTGGAGGCTTATTAAAACACACCTCTCTGGGTTCTACCCTTAGAGTTCTGGATACAGTGAATCTTAAGGGGCCCTGAGAATCTGCATTCCAAAAAAGCTTCTCACTAAAACTCACTACCGTCAAGTCAATTGCAACTCATAGCGACCCCTCCTTGGGTTTCCAAGGTGGTATCACTATGGAAGTAGATTGCCCAACCTTCCTTCTGAGGAGTGGCTGGTGGGTTTGAACCACCAGCCTTCTGGTTAACAGTCAAATGCCTTAGGCACTATGCCACCAGAGCTCCCAAACAAGTCTCTAGGTGATCACAATTCTACTTGTCCATGGACCACAGTTTGAGGAACACTACTAGAATGAAAGACCACCATGCCAGATACTCTGTATCCCACCAGTTTTACCACTAAGTTCCTGAGTGGCCTTGGACAAGCTTCAAAACCTCTTTTGGGACTTTGTTTACTAAACTTTAAGATAAGAATAAAATTATAACCCTTTGAAGGGGGCAGAACAGGGAATATCAAACTAGATAAAAGGTGAACATGCTTTAAAACGTAAACTATTATCAAACATATGCCTTCAAAGTGCTTATATGTCAAGGTAAAGAGCAGATACACAACTTTATATAGACATGAGCCATTTTTATATCCCAAAGTCTTCATGTGGCTGGGCACACAGCTTGATACCAACAAATGCTTGAGTGAATAAAGTGAGGTAGAGATTTAACAACACTTGGTCCTTTTACATGAACAGTCCTATGAGGCAATTCAGTCCCAAGAAATCCAATGTGTTGACTTCAACTGAGTAAAAAATGTCTGAGACGTCTCACCTAGGCTTTGAGAGAAATGGCAGACAGAGGGGAAATGTGAGTGGGAACATGCCAGCTGAGGGCCTGCAGCACTGTGTGCCTACCCATGCCTGGAGCTTGAGAGCTCACTCACCCTGTTGTCTTCAGGAGTAGGAGGAAGAGGCTTCTTTGAAGCTGAAACAAGAAAAACAGAAAAATAAAATGAGCATGAAACTAAATCAGCCCAGCTTTGGTGAGCTGCCAGGGGGGTTTTCAGAGAAAAGGGACCACAAGGAGAGCAACATAAGAAAAGGGGCCAAAAGAAGTTGAGACACAGAGAAACCCAAACTGGAATTGTTAGGATACGTGTCTCATTTCTTTCAGCCTGCTGGTTCCCAATTCCCTTTCTTAGAAGACACCAGAAACTTCCAGAAGTCAAAGTTCTGGGCCTCTCTCTTTTTGTATCTCTAGGAAAAGCCTAAGCAAAAAAGGCTCTACCAGAGGGGTTAGGCTTGCTTCTCTGTAGATGCAGATACTTCCACGAATGTACCTGGCACCTGCTAAACCCAGGAGTGGGAACTGATGACTCAAGGAGACAGTGACTCACTGGCTTCCTGATGCTGTTGTGGCTTGAGGAGGGGGTGGAAGAGGTGGGAGGACATTGCACTGCTTTTTGAGAGGGTGGAATCCATTTTTAGTTGCCTTAGACATCTGAATATGTGTTCTTGCTGCCTCCCCCAAACAAACCCTCAACATGTCTCCCTCTCTCTTTTATCTCTCTGTGGCTCCATGTTTCTCCTGTCTTTATCTCTCCTCAAGCACTTCCCTATTTTCTCCTCTCTGTTTCTGTACTTTCTCCTCCTTTCCTTCTCACTCCTCTCTTCACTTTCTCCTTCCTTTCGTCTCTCCCTCTTTCTCTCTCTCTCTTTTTTTTTTTTTTTTTGGCATTGCAAAGGATGGGCCTGGAATCAATGGACCAAAGCCGTTTGTCAGTAGGTTTGGGAAGCAGTACACAGGCCTCAACTCAAGACATCTTTAATAATTAGAGATAAGAAGGGAATGGGCTACAAAGATAGGCAGTCAGTCTTTGTCTAGGCATGTGAATAACTTAAAATTAGACAGCCCCATGTCAGGGATATGACAGAGGACATTCTCTATTTGAAACTGGAGCCCAGCCCTTGTGCTAACTCCTTAAGCAAGGGCAGGATGGGATATTGACTTGGGTATGAAATGAGCAGAAAAGGGTCGAAGGAAAACATATGTAATAGGAAATATGGTTCTTAGTCAGTACTCAACCTGGATCCACGAGACTTGTGTTCTAATCCTAGTTCCCACACATACAAACTGTGTGGCCGTGGGCTTCTTCCAACCCTGAACATTCTGTAACTGTTCTCTCTTTCTTCTTCCTCTGGGCCTTCTCTTCCCTTCCTTCCTCTCCCTCTGTGTGGAGTTAGTATGTGGTGAGGATCAGGGTGAATTCTTACCACAGAAATGGGTGTTGCTGTGAGCTGAGTATAGTAGGGTCCATTTTTGTTCAACCATCTTCACTACTTCCCAAACCACCTAACCACCTCCCAACACACACACACACACACACACACACACACACATGCCTGTAGCACTACATCTGAGCCTCAGATTCTCTTGTCCACAAATAATCCAAGTAGACACAATTACCATTTATCAAGAACTTATTAAGTGCCAGCAGCTGTGTTAAGAGCATTCCATAAATCAGTTGATGAATCTCCATGAAGTAGCTACTTCATTACCCCCATTTCACAGATGAGAAAACTGGCTCAAAGGCTCAAAGAGACTGAATAATATATATGAAGTCAAATAACAAGGAAGTGATGGAATTGGGACTTAGATTTTTTTCACTCTAAAGGCCAGTGCTTTTAGACTCTGTGGTATACATGAATCCAACACCAGGGATCCTACAAGCTTTTGCACAGAGCAGACAACCATGTGCTGTGTTCTCAGTACAGTGTGCTTCTTGAAACTGCTCCAAATGCTGTCAAAACTGTGGTATGTGGAGCTATTTAAGCAGTTCTGAAGAGGGTAGACAGAGAAGATATTCACAGCGGGAAATGGCAGAGGGTTGCATTATAAGAGAAGGGCTATTAGCTGAGCGAATGCACAGGCTACTCCCAGAAGTGACCATGAGTGGTCAGGCCCTGGGTTCACACGGGGAGGGTTCAGCATGACCAACTCCTGCCATCCCCAAGAGTAGTCTTGGTGAGTCATTCAGATGCTCCTAACACCTTAGTCATGTGTCCACTACTCAGTGAGGGGAAATACTATGTACCTAGAGAGGATTAGCAGCAATATGAATGGTGAAAATTGCAAAATGGAAACAGATTCAAAGAGTTTCAGAATATAAAGGAAGCTTAGAGATTATTTCATGCCTCCGAAAACCTCCTCTACCATTTTAGAAATGAAGACTTAAGAGACAAGTGACTTACCAGTAGTCACACAGCAAGATGCTGGCAAGAATTTGAAGATAAGAACTTTGGAAAGGGCCTTTCACTCACTGAGAAGCCCATGCCACCTTATTGTTGGAATGGACTCCACCCACATCAAACCTTCCATTTCTTTTTCATTAAACACTGGGTTTCATAAGCAAGGCATGGTCAACAGGGCTAATGCAGGGAATCGCTGTCTTCTAAGACTTGATCAATATTATTCTTTTGGGCCAGGGGAGTGGTAGACTTGAATGGCTTTCTGTCCCATGGTGGAAGGTGAGAAGTGGTGGTTTTTAAAGTGTTACTGAGAAGGGGTGTGACTCAGGAAGCCACTGAAAACCAGGCCACATGTTACATTTACCACATCCGCCTAGGTATGTCAATCAGAGGTATTAAGTTTTAGTACAAAAAAAGAAATTGACTGAAGAGAAAAGGAAACCTGGGGAAGAGAAGTTGAGGGTAGATGGGAGTGCAGACAAAACACTCCACATGGGCCATCATTCCTGTTCACCAACTGATTTGCAGAGCACTTCCTAGCTATGTGACCATAAGCATACGCATCTGCTTACTGCTTCCATTTCTTTAACATCACACTATCTTTTCTGAGAGCATAATGCATGTAAAAGGGCATAGCAGTGGAGTTGTACTTTATTGGGGGGTTAGGGTTCCAAAGTCAGCACTGAAGTTAAAATTGAGTTTCCATTAAATTTCCAGGACCCTATGACCTCAAAGGAGCTCTGGTAGCATAGTGGCTAAGACACTTGCCTGCTAACCAGACGGCTGGTGGTTCAAACCCACCAGCCACTCCTCGGAAGGAAGGTTGGGCAATCCTACTTCCATAGTGATACTGCCTCGGAAACCCAAGGAGGGGTCGCTATGAGTCGGGGCCAACTCGACGGCACATAACAACAACAACAACATGACCTCAAAAGGCCAAGAAACAACTTTCTTTTCACTTTTCATTTAGACTGTGACCTCCTTTTCTCTGAGACAGTGGAGGTTAAGGGGAGATGGGAAGAAGCCATTGGATAAAATAAGATTTATTTTTATTTCCTTTCCCTACCTTCTAACCCTGCAAGTACAGAGTTGAACTCCATATGATTAAACACATGAATGATGTAATATCACTGGGAATAAACATACCCATAAATGCTGTCCCTAATACTTAAATCCACCACCATCGATCAGTTGGTTGTACTATGGTAGCTTGCATGTTGCTATAATGCTGGAAGCTATCTATGCCTTTGGTATTTCATATACCAGCAGTGTCACCCATGGTGGACAGTTTTCAGTAGAGATTCCAGACTAAGACACACTAGGAAAAAAGCCCTGGTGATCTACTTCCAAAAATCAGCCAGTGAAAACCCTATAGATCACAACAGAATATTGTGTTATAGTGCTGGAAGATGAATGCCTTAGGATGGAAGGCACTCAAATACACAGTGGCTGCAACAATTGATTTGAGCATACCAATGACTACGAGGATGGTGGACTGGGCCATGTTTCCTCTATTACACATGGGTCACCAGGAGTTGGAGCAGACTTGATGGCAACTAACAATTGTAATAATTAAGTAATGCCATTCACATTTCCTAACATGAAGGATTATAGCTGTGCTTCTCAAACTTCACTGTGCACATAAATCTCCTAGGGATTTCATTAAAATACAAATTCTAATCTAATAGGTCTAGGGTGAGGCCAGAGAATTTCTAAGGCACGTGACTGCTAACCAGAAGGCTGGTGGTTCAAACCCACCATCCACTCCTCAGAAGGGAGATGGGGCAATCTCTTCCGTAGTGATACTGCCTCAGAAACCCAAGGAGGGGTCACTATGAGTCGGATCTGACTCGATAGTACATAACAACAACAACAACAACAACTAGCTCTCAGGTCATGTTGATGCTGCTTGTCTGAGCTCCACAAGGAGCTATATAATTATCAGCTCTGAGATGAAACAAACAAACAAAAATCAGCAAACTGGTAGTAGAAGCAGATGATTCCCCTCTGAAAATTCTGAAAACCTAGAATTTTCTATCTAATACCTGACACTCCAGAGAGCTTTTATTACCTAAGAGCACAGAGGTCAGTCATTTCAAAAAGAAGAAAATCCCCCAGGCTCTTACCATTCTTGGTTGGGTCATACTCGGCACAGCCTGCTGCAAGCTTCTCCAACTGGGCACAGCACCTCCACCTCCCATCTATCCAGAAATTAGGGTGATACTTGGATACCAAACTGTTGTTGTGCCTTGTTTCTGAAAGGGGTTGTTATCAAAAGAAGAATTATTTCTTGGTTAGAGTATCAAGGCACCAACTTTATAACTCTCTGGGATTTAACCCTGCTGCATAATATTAGTCAGGACAGGCAGTAAAATGGTCATTTACCTGGACTTAATTCATTGTGCTATTTATTGAGGTATGCATATTGGACTTAGGCATTAACAGACCTGAGTTTGGCTCTGCCTCAAGTTAGCTGTATGTCCTTACGATGGGCAAGCCCTCCTTTTAGCCTTAATTTCCCATGAGTTTCGTAGACTGAGTCAGTGGGCTCCATAAAAGTGCCTCAGATGTAATGGGAAGCCCAAGTTGGTGGGATTTTGGTACCTCCACCTCTAACAGCTTCAACCACAGGAACTTGGCTTTTGTCTCTTCTAGATTTGTGGCTTTGAAGTATAATTTTGGTGGTGGTGGGGGAAAAAAGACTGATGATTTAAAAGAAAAAAAAAGCATCAAACCTACAAAACTAGCTAGCTAATTTCCAATGCTCCTTCTAGCTTTAATACCCTTCGTGAAAAGCCCTGCATAGAGGAGAGTCAAAGGCGTTGTCTACCCTGGATGGTGGGTAGATGAGACTCTTTTGATTACATTATACTTTAATGTGTTTGTTCCATGCTCTGTGACTGCTATACTTCTAGTTTGCCCAGCATTGCCTGTCTGGATCCCATTTGAGGCAACAATTGTGGAAAAAGCTAGGACTCAGATTTTTATTCTCATTTTTTTTAGATAGAGTAATCGTGGCTCCAGAGATTTCAAATGGCTTGCTTTTGTCCCCATTTATTTACTTTGCTGCTGTTGTTAATTTCCATCGAGAAGAGACAGATTAATATTTGAACCCAATTCTCCTGGCAAATCAGTGCTAAATAGAAGTAACAGCAATATTGATTAAGTGTTCTCTTGGAGATGGATATTGTTCTAAGTGCCTTGTATGGACTGACTCATTTAATTCTCACAGCAACCCTATGCACTTATATAACCATTTAAAATGTAACTACTTAAAAATATATAAGCACTTTTTGGTTTGGCGCCATATGAAAACAGACAGTGAGCTGGATTTGGCCAACTCCTTCACTATACTGTTTGTTGCTTCTAGGTCCCAGAGGAAAATTTGGGACCTTCCCTTAACACCAAAAGGAAGGTTATCAGTCAGAATTTGTAGCTGAGGAAATGCAGTTGCAAAAATGTCAATGACTATGTCCAGGGTCACACATTTCATAATTGGCAGTGCTGGGATTTTCACCTGATCCACCTGGTTCCACATCCATGTACTTAACCCTTGGGCTGGTTCACGTAATTATGCTGACAGGAAGGGAAGGCTTAAGAAATACCTCTACTGATGATGTGAAAAAAATTCCAAGCTAGCTAACATTTATTGGGTGCTGACTACAGACCTGGTTAATTTTATGGATTTTATTTGCAGGCTGTGGAGGTAGGTGCTATTTATTATTCCTGCCTTCTTGTATTTCACAGTAGATGTGAAAACTGAAGCACAGAGCAGTTAAGGAACTTTTCCAAGCGCACATGACTAGTGGCATGATTTAAATCCAGGTCATCTAGCTCCAAGACCCTTACTGTTCATGCTATACTAGGAGCTGGCAAATTTTTTCTTAAAGGTCCAGATAGCAAATATTTTAGGCTTTGGCAAAATCAAAGATATTATGTAAATATTTATGAAACCATTTAAAAATATAAAAAGGATTCTTAGCTCAGGGCCTTATAAAAACAAGTGGCAGGCTAGATGTGGCCAAACCCTGCACCACACTGTTTGCTGCCTTTAGGGCTCAGGAGGAAGCATGGGACCTGCCACTAACACCAAAAGGGAGACATGTTTGAACATCAGCTGCTCCCAAATCTCACTCTATTCTATTGTGGAATTGAAGCCCATTATAGGATCAACGGGTTTCAGGGTCTCAGTTGCACAGGAGTTTCCTTACCTTCTTTAAGGGCCAGGACCCAGCGTTGCCGGCTTTCACGGTCTGGAGCAAATACATACAGGAGATAGTTATCATGCACGACCTGGAGACAGTACATAGAGTCAAGATGAGCAGTGTGCCCTGAGACAAATGACTGACCATAGGCTCATCTGACTTACTGGGCTGAAGGCTGTGTTTCAGGTGTTTGTCATCATTTAGGCAAACTGGGTAATTTTGGGGAGCTCTGGTGGCATAGTGCCTAAGAAATTTGACTGCTAACCAGAAGGCTGGTGGTTCAAACCCACTAGCCACTCCTCAGAAGGAAGTTGGGGGATCTACTTCTGTAGTGATACGGCCTCAGAAACCCAAGGAGGGGTCACTGTGAGTCGGATCCGACTCGATGGCAGTGCGTTTTTTTTTTTTTTTGGTTTTGGGTAATTTTTACTTAGATGTTTGAGGGCTGTGCAGAGATACAGGGTGAAACTCTGCAGCATAGGCTGCTCCTCAAAGATTTGTGCCACTAGTAAGCAATTGCTGCATTAAAAAAAGTAGGTTTGACTTCTGAGGAGAACGTTCTCCTCCTGACTAGACAGCACATTTATCTCTCATATTTATTTTTCAGTGATTTTAAAAAGAAATATCTCTGGCATGTGAAGAAATAAGGTATTAGATGGTAAATGCACAAACAAGTTAAAAAACCATTTTATTTATTTTTAAATCATTTAAGACACACAAAAATTTTCACAAATAGTACAGAAATTTCCCGTTACTCTTTACCTAACTTTCTCCAGTGATAACATATTACATAACCACAGCAGAGTCTAAACCAGGAAATTCACCTGGGTACAACTATTAACAAAACTACAGGCCTTCTTTATATTTCTCCAGTTTTCTTCATGTCCTCATTTGTAACTGGGTTTTAACAACTGGAAAATATATGTCATTGCTTTTACATTCAGTCCTACCACCTCCAACTACTTTTCTAGTAGGAAAAAAAGTCCTTCTCCATGCCAGGTTAAAAAGAAATATTCACCCCTCATGCTGACAAACTGAAAGGATACTCTGGGATGTGCAAGGAGACATCCACTCCTGCAGATGCATAAATGCCAAAAGTGGTAACAAGGTTTAAACACCATCCTGACCTAAAGCCTCTGAAGAGACCCTCTACCAATTCTGTCCAATAGAACTTTCTACTGTGACAGATGTGTTCTATATCTGTGCTGTCCCATATTGTAGCTACTAATCACATGTGGCTATAGAACCTATGAAATGTGACTTGTGTGGCTGAGGATCTTAATATTTAATATTATTTCATTTAAATTAATTTACATTTGAATTTAAACAGCCACATGTGGATAGGGTCTATTGTATTGGACAATGCAGTTCTAGGGCATTCCCAGATTGTAAAATCTGAGTCTTCTTGCCCCAGAACCTCCAAGCAATTTATAATCAAGGATTTCAATCTGTTGCCCCATATCTTGGGATAAACTATACTCCAAGAACATTAATCCTGGGGGCCTTGATGACAGCTTTCTCTTTTCCCCAGGGCGGAGTAATTAGTTATCTTCCTCTAAGTAGGTAAGACAGTGAGGGCAAAGAGAATGAGCAATAACATTTTCAAGATTTTGTACTTAATCTTTGCTGAATGAATGAATCTATCATTTATTAAAAGAACATAAGGCTGGGACTCAGTTTTGACCCAGAATCAGAGTCATTCCTTCCCCCACCTTCTCTTACAATGACTGAGGGATTTAACTATGGTCCAGGGAATGGGGAACTATCCCTGTTAGGCCTGATGGACTTACCTGGAATGGGTATTTATAGTGGCATGGGATGATAATGTCACTTTTCACAATCTCGACACACTTGATTCGGGAAAGTTCAATGGAGCCCTTCAATGTGCGCTTTTTCTGTGGGGAGAAAAGTACATTCCATTTAAACAAGAGAGAACACGTGATGCTTTCATCCAGATTGCTTCTAGAAATCCATTATGGGACAAGATACACTAGATTTGTAAAACAAGTCCTCCAAAAATCCAGAAGCTGCTTGCTGGCCCTCAGTGCCTGAGAAAGACAGTGTTAGCAGGCTCCTAGGAGACATGAGCTTTGAATCGTCTTCTTTATGGGGTGACTGATTCTCACTCATTGAAGTAAGCTTATATCCCATTGTCCTTGTGACAAATGGCAGCACTGAACCACATGTGCTGATTTTCTTTATTCTTACTTATTAGCACAGTAATTGAACTCAGGCTTGAGCTAGACGGTGATACATACCTTTAGTGGAAACTTCCTTTTCTACATCTTGCTTCTCCAAATCCCTAAGCTATCCATAATCCCACACTGACTTCCACAGGACATTCCTGTATAATTATCCTTTCTCTATGCCCTCCCAACCCCATTGAATCTTAACCATGTCTCACTTCTTTGGACTCTTGCTACATGTATTTCCCTGAAAACTAATTCATATGATCGTGTTCATGGTTTATAATGATGCTACATGTTACCCATTTCTAAAAGTGCTTTTGCTTGGAGAGTGGATCCCAAAGAATGTGTTGCCTTATCTAATGGGGCAGATTCTGCTGGTGAACTATCATGCTCAAAGGAAGTCTAGTTAGGAGTGCACAGCCTTTCAGAACAGAGTAGGCTTTCACAGGTTCCTAGAATTAGGCTACCATTGAGACTAGATTTTAATTCAGCTATGAAAGCACTGAAAAATACTTCATTATACCATTTCTTTATAAGGAAGTAGTAATTTGTGATGAAACGGGCACAAGGTTGGAAAGGGCTAGGTTCAAAGTTGGGCCCTTTCCCTTACTAGCTCTGTGAACTAGGGAAATTCATCTAACCTCTCTGAACCTTTGTTTCCACATCTGGTAAGTAAGGATAATACCTACTTTTTAAGGGCTGACTGGAGAATAAAATAGGATGATGTAAACAAATTACCTGACTCATAGTAGGTGCTCTCAATGAAGGGTGCTCTTGCAGTTAAAGAGGTTACTAAACAAACTCACTGTCATCGAATTGATTCATAGTGACCCTAGGCAGTAGAACTGTGTCATAGGATTTCCAAGGCTCTAAATATTTATGAAAGCAGACTGCCATATCTTTTTCCCATGGAGCAGCTAGTGGGTTCCAACTGCCAAACTTTAGATTTGCAGCTGAGAAGTCAAAGAAGTTCTAACTATTGCAAGAGTGAGCATGATATAGAAGTGCATTCAGTTGGTGTTCAGAGAGCCATGACACCATCAAATGCTCCAGAATTGGGCTCTCTCTTTACTTTCTATTTTTTTACTCCACTCTGGATGCAGGTTTTTGCTTTAGTAGCTGAGACACAGAACCGAGATGAAAAACATTAAGATGTGCAGAGCACTTCCTATTTAACACAGGGAAGCTTTGTGGTGCTCCTTTTTCCTTTTTTTTTTTTTTTTTAATTAAATACTCATTTTTGAAAATACAAAATTTATCCATGTTCATTGTAATAAATTAAACAATATGACCATATGCGAAAAAAAATTTATAAAGCCCATTCCACCCTCTCTACTCCACTCAGATAACCAAGATTAATCATTTGGAATGTATTCTTTTTTCTTACTATTATTATTTATTTTATTGTGCTTTGGGTGCAAATTTACAAAGCACATTTTTTTACATTCCATAGTTCATGCACATTTGATTTCATGACCAGATTACCATCACCAACCATAAAAGTCTTCTCCCATCCTCTCTCCTCCCGATGACTACCCCCTCCCTGTGCCCTTGTTGACTATGCATTCCTGTCTGTCCAGCTTTCCCTCTGTGTGAATTGGTATGTATTCTTCTTTTTCTCGTTTATAGACTGTATGTAAACAAAAATGAATATCTGCTCTACATAGTGGTCTACACCTTGCTTTTGTAATATAATGATGTATTAAGGTGCCTGTCATCCCTTAAAACCTCTGAAAATACACATGCCTTTGGACTCATATTATCTTCTCATTTTGTGTGTTCCTGATCTTGCCCATAATCATAGTTCTTTGGAATGGCCTATCTGTTTTTCAAAAACAGAAGGGCACAGCTGCCTTTGCAACAACCATCTGCAGCTGTGGGTAAACAGGGAGCTGAACTTTGAAGTTACCTTGTTATTTGACCTCTTTTGGATTATTTCCTTAGAAGTGTGCATAGCAAAATGAAACAAAAGGATCATGACAGTAATATGACAATTGTGTTTGTAGACATTTTTGTCTTTGAAACCCACTAACTCCAGAGTTGCCTGAGGGTAGAGACCAGGACATGTGCCACCATATCCCCAATGCCAAGCACAGTGGCTGGCCCAGAGATGGGAGGGACGGAGGGGGGTGCTCAGTCGGGATGTGATTAATGAATGCACCACATTTGAAAACAGTTAAAACAATCTTAATCAGATTTAAGGCTAATGCATTTAGCTATCCAGGAAATACGTATTGAGGGCCAGTATTAAGCTAAACATTATCCTGAGTGGAGGAAATACAGTGATGAAGGTGACAGACACTCTCTTGGAACTCACAATCTAATTGAGAAGGCAGACAATAAACAAGTGCTATAAAGAGGCAATAAGGTGGAGGTGGTGGTAAGGTGGAGGGTCGACAAAAGAGGGGAAGGCCCTCAACGAGATGGATTGCCACTGGCTGTGGCAATGGGCTCAAGTATAGCAAGGATTGTAGAGCTGGTGCAGGACTGGGTGGTATTTCGTTCTGCTGTGTATAGGGTTGGGATGGGTCACAGACAACCTAATGGCACCTAACAGCAACAACAACATAAAGAGGCACCTCTAAAGAAAGCCCTAACGATCTGCTTCTAAAAAGGCCACTGCCTTGAAAACCCTATTGAACACAGTCCTACTCTGCATACATGAGATCACTTTGAGTCAGACTCAATTTGACAGCAACTGGATTGGTTTAGTTTACAAAGAGAAAAAGAACAGATTTGATTGATCAAATTGTGGTCATTGCAAGTCTCTCTGGAGAGAGGGCATTTGAGAAGAGATCAGAAAGTTGGAAATGAGCCAAATCTGAAAGATTTAGGGGAGTAAGCATCCTTGTGGAGGGAGCAGCAAGAGCAAAATCACAGAGGTGGAAAGTACTGGTTACACCCGAAGAACAGAAAGGAGGTCAGAGGGGCTGAAGACCAATCCTGAGAGAAGCCCAATCTTGTGAGGGCAAAGGGGCACCAGAAGAGGTTTTTAAGGGCTAGATCATCCTGATGAGGGGTTTGGATTTAATTTTGAGAGCAACATGAGTCCTTTGGAGAGATGGTCATCTTTACCAACCAAGTTCTCTCCACTGATTCTGAATATTTTTAGGCTCTCCATGTGCCTCTTCACCACCATGTCTTGAATTTGGGGTACCCCAAAGTTTCCAACATGAAAAATAGTTGAGTGCATTCTGTCATTTTCATTACTGGACTATTTTAGTCTGTAAAAATCTTCATACTAGATTTTGTTTACTTCTCATGACCATCTTATGTGGCCTTGTAGGATACCTGACCAGAACTTAGCACAATAATAAATGCTCATATAATTTTAAAAAAGTGATTACATGAATCAACCCCATTTTACAGATGAGGAAAGTAAGATTGAAGAAGTCAACTGTCTCACCCAAGGTATCACAGTTGATAAGGTGGCAGCCATAGTTTAGATGTCCTACCTACTTGCCAGAGCACTTTTCAAAACATGACATAGTCTTCTAGGTGGGCAAACTTTTGACAAACTGTTATTAACCAGAGAATCTTCAAAGCTTAGAGTCAGAAAGATATGGTCCAAATCCAACCACTGTTACTTACATTATCTTGAACAAGACACTCAAATTTTCTAAGCCTTACTTTTCTCATGTGAAAAACCAGGAGTGATAATAAAAACATGCTTCATAAGATTGTTATGAGGATTTGATAAGATCATTCATGTAATGCAGTTAGTACAATGCTCTGCACACAGACAAACAGCAGTTGTTAACAGACAGGCTGGGACCCTTGTAATGAGGGCATAAAGTGGAGGGAAATACTAACTGGATTTATAAATAGGAAAAAAACTTTTTTGTAAAGCTCCAAAGCAGTACTCCACCACTCGTCTGTCAGTTTGTTGTACTGTGGTGGCTTGCGACTTGCTATGATCTTAGAAGCTATGCCACTGGTATTTCAAATACCATGGTGACAGGTTTCAGCAGAACTTTCAGACTAGGATAGACTAGGAAGGAGGACTTGGTGATCTAGTTCTAAAAAATAAGCCACTGAAAACCTTATGAATAACAGTAGAATATTATATAGTGCTGGAAGATGAGCCCCACAGGTTAGAAGACACTAAAAATACGACTAGGGAAGATGTGTCACCTCAAAGAAGAATTGACCTTGATGAGGATGGAGTAAAACTTTCAAGGCCTTCATTTGCTGATGTGGCAAAACTCATAAAATGAGAAGAAACAACTGCAAATATTTGTTAATAATAAGAATGTGGAATGTAAAAAGTATGAATCTAGGAAAATTGGAAGTTGTAAAAAATGAAACAGAACACTTGAAAAATCAATATCCTAGACATTAGTGAGCTAAAATGGACTGGTGTTGGCTATTTTGAATTGGACAATCATACAGGTTACTATACTGGAATGACAAATTGAAGAGGAACAGTGTCTCATTCATTGTCAAAAAGAACATTTCAAGATCTATCTTGAAGTACAATGCTATCAGTGAAAGGATAATGTCCATAAGCCTACAAAGAAGACCAGCTAATATGGCAGTTATTCAATTTTATGCACCATCCACTAATGACAAAGATGAAGAAATTGAAAATTTTTACCAAATTCTATAGTCTAAAAATCTATCAAACATGCCATAAAGATGCATTGATGATCACTGGTGATTGGAATGCAAAAGTTAGAAACAAAGAAAAAAGATCAGTAGTTGGA